AGAGGTTTGTTTGGGGCAATTTAATAAAGCTGCAGGTAAAAACATTATATATACAAGTCTGCAGGTGTAGTTTTATTAGATGTAGATGAAATCAGATTTGAAGTAAAAGTGTCGCTTTGTTTTTCAGAACAATTGTTTTTTTGCAAAATATCGTGATATTAAAAATGGAGACAAAAAAGAGATTACACTGGAAACTGTTGGAAGGATCCATGAACAGTTTCCAGTGACTGAAATATTAAATGAGAAAAGTTGTACGACTGCTGAAGAGCATCGCTTTAATGAGCTTAACTGGAGGCTCCACGAGGCCGACGCCACAAAGCTCTCTAATGTGATTTGATGCTTTGAACAGTGCCTGAGTTACGTTGTTACATTAATAACTTGCAGAGACGCTCTTAAACAGCACATTTGTATCTACTTCAGTGTGACTGCAACTATAGAATTAAAGAAATGAATGATGAACTTACAGGTCTTGGCCCTTCCTGTCAGGGCTTCGCTGGATCCAGTCGAGTAGGAGGCGATGACCTTGACGCTGTACTCCGTACCACTCAGCAGGTTAACGATCAGCATGGTGTTCACATCCTCCCCCACAAAGGTTTCCAGAGCTTGTCCGGGGGCTGCAGGGTGATCATGGAGGAGACACGTCAAGGATGAGAAGATGGTCAGTGAAGCAGCAGGAGAACAGAGGAGCAACTTCAGAGGTCATCATTAGCTTCAGCTGCAGCACAAAATACCGTTTTCCTCTCACATTCCTCTATACTGTTAAACTGACAGCTCCTGTAGGAAGTGCAGCAGGTCTGCATATTTGCTTTTGTTCCTAACATGATCCTATTTTGACAAAACCCAACAAAAAGAGATGAGAACCAGGTAAGAGCTGAATAAAGCTCAGGATTTTTACTCCACCTGAGATGGTGAGTCAGTCCCACAGGCTGCTGAGTTTAAATGCTCAGCTTTACAACAGAAAAGATGCTAACAGCCTTCTATAAAAAGCGTTTGGGTCTCTTCTCTGAATGCAAAGACTGTGAGTGAGGGTGAAACTTTAAATTGGACCGAGCCTCACACTGGGTTAGTGGCTCCTCGCAGTGACAGCTGGATGCTAGCAGCTGCAGTTAGCTGTCTGCCTTCACTAAGCTGTCACTGAACTTCTCGACCACGTTGTGGTTTTGGAGCTATTTAAAGGATTTTAATGCAAACATATTCGGTACACTGTGCGGGTAATTGTACTAAAAACTAGAGATGGACCGATCCGATATTACGTATTGGTATCGGTCTGATACTGACCTAAATTACTGAATCGGATATCGGAGAGAAATAAAAAATGTAATCCGATCCATTAAATATCAAAAAAGCACCTCACAAAACTTGCGAAACGGCGTAACTCGGCTCATAACGTAGCACGTCTGAGCAGTGTGGTCACGTGATAGAGCGGCTGTGTGTATTTGTAGCCTGCTAGCAAACATTT